GCGGTGTCAGCGGGGAGAAGGTCTCGCGGATGAGCCTGGTGGACTTGGCAGGGAGCGAAAGGGCTGTGAAAACTGGGGCGGTGGGCGATAGACTTAAAGAAGGAAGCAATATAAACAAGTAAAGAAACTGGTTCTTTTTTACTTTAGTTAACCTTATTACACAGAAAATAGAACAATTAACTAAAATTTTAGTGCCAATACTAATTTTTCTCTATTAGAACTGCCAACTTATAATTAGTAAATTATTGTATATAAATGATAATAAATGTAGTGAGTAACTGTATATAAATATGTTTCTATTTGAGTAAAAGTCAACGTCAGTTTCCTCAAAGGAAGCTGTAGAAAATATCTGAAAAAGTCATCACTGACTCATTTGGTAGTTCTAATGTTGAAATAAATCTCTATTTTGTGTCTTCTGAGGCTAATCAATTTGGTAAATGATTAATTTAATTATGTCAGGAGTACCTGGCAGATTTGCAAACTTATTTTTCTTGAAAACAAAGATTTGAAGAATGAAATGTTTTTTTTAATTTATTTTTGCATGTAGAATTATTATCCTGCAGGTTGTAACATTATTTTGAGGACACCCTGTATAGGAGAACTACTGACCTATATAATATTTAGCTGGGGTGTATTGATAATAGCAATTAAAGTGGTATGATGAATTTAAGTAGGTTATATAATTAAGTTTCTATTTTAATAAGAGACAATGTTAATTTTGTTAAGAGCAGCTATATATTTACAGTAATTGCAAAAATTGAAAGTCTGAAATCAATAATTTGGATTGGTTTGGTAGTACTAGTCTTAGAATAATTTATATGGGCTACATTAAGTTGATTATAATAATTTTCTTATTCCTGTGGATCCCTGTTTTTTGTTTAGTATGATTGTTTCTTGTATATGTGAATGCATGTATATTGTAAATATGAAAATATGAATTTGTAATGGCTGTATGTAATAATGATTGAGTTCTAAATGGTAGACAAATATTGAAAGACTACTTAAGAACAGCTACCCAAGATTTTGGATGGATAATGAGACACAGAAATATGTTTTAGGAATATTTGTATAGTTTGTCTAAATTGAATGAAAGATATTGTAAAAGTAAAGGATGGTAGACAATATGAGTGTACATCCAATATACACCACTACCCAAAAATTTGTTTAATTTTACAAATTGTGCTAAGATTTTGGCATCTCATAAAGCTGGTTAATCAAAATTCTATTGAAGTGGAGAAAATTATTCAGTATTGCAGTTATTATATTATTAAATTGCAGTTATTAATATCTGCTACACTATTAATACTAAAAATTAATTAAAGTATTAATAAAATTAACAGAATTCTATATTTTTGATTGGCAATTTACACTGTGTAGAAAATGTTTACATGGAATTATAATTGATTCATTTACATTATATTATTTTAATTATATTTGCTTCTACATCTGAACTAATAACAGCTAGAAAGTAAAATTTCTTCTCCCTTAAACAGTCTCCATATAAGAAAACTATTTAATTGAATATCTCTATACTTCTCTTTCTTCTAATAATTTAAAATTCAATTAGTTGAATTAGTTTGCATAAACTGGCTATAAAATATGTGAAAAAATGAGCATTCTTTTTCCTCTCCTTTCAATAAAGTTAAAAGCATTTGTCACATTATTATTTTATTATTCATTTAAGTACCTGTTGCATATTTTTCTTTTAACAAAGTCAAGGATATTTATGATAGGCGAAATTAATTTAATTTCTATTAATTAATTGAACACTTATTTTTTTGCTTTTTAATAAGGACAGAAGCATTTATGGTAGCTTCAGTTAGATCACACAAGATGGTTACAGGATATGTAAGAAAATGATGGATCATGAGAAATAAGAAGAACAAATATTTGCAGATCCCTAACGACGTTGGGTCTAGTCATTTCGAAGCTGGCGGATCAGAATTCCGGAAGTAATAAGAATAAGGACAAGTTCGTGCCGTACAGGGACTCCGTCCTAACATGGTTGTTGAAGGTATTATCCCACGTCTTTGAAATAACGAGCTAAGTAACGAGTATCCTAATTGCTTGACACACAGCAGGAACCATATTGTACTAACCAACTACGTGATAAAGTAAACACCAAGTTCGCATAAAATTACCAATAGAAAGCCTAATAAAAATAATACCTCTTTAAAAAATTCTATAATAATCATAATAATTATACAAAATAAGGATAATATTACATTTAAAATAAAAAAAGTTCAGAAAATTTATATAACATAAATATTAAATATAAATATTATATTATGTTAATATTGCATAATGTTAGGTATAGTATAAGCAATAAAGTAATTGAGAAAATGAAAATTTTTGGAATATCTTGTAGGGTGAATTTAATAACTAAGGTGTGATTAATTTTGAAACTAGCTCTACCCTTTATAACCGTACCATATTTTAATTATAGGATAACCTTGGCGGAAATAGTAAGACCGTAATGGTAGCCACTATATCTCCCGCCGCGGATAATTACGAGGAAACGCTTTCTACCCTACGATACGCAGACAGGGCCAAGAGAATCGTTAATCACGCGGTGGTCAACGAGGATCCAAACGCAAGAATCATTCGGGAATTGCGACAGGAGGTGGAGACACTGAAGGAGATGCTGTTACATGCAACTGTAAGATAATTAGGACTCGTTAACACCGGTATATTAATTGCACGTTAGACCAGCGAATAAATATAGCCATTAGAGCAACCAATAAGTTCTTGGATGAGTTTGAACTTCAGCGATGCTAAAGTCTCTCCACTGGAGCTTGACATTTTGCCAATAAAGTCAGAAGGAAGGTGTTATGACATCAAATTGATAAGGAGTCACTGGAACCGGTTTTCAATACAATATCTCAATTAGAAACAAATCCAAGAAGCATATACTTGGACTAAAAGATTCCTAATTAGTACATGAGAAAATTGCTAAGATTCCAGGATCTTTAGCATTTTACTAACATTATCATAAGAAAGGTGTCATGACATCAAATTGATAAAGAGTTACTGGGACCAGTTTTCATCAATACAATATCTCAATTAGAAACAAATCCAAGAAGCATATACTTGGACTAAAAGATTCTTAATTAGTACATGAGAAAATTGCTAAGATTCCAGGATCTTTAACATTTTACTAACATTATCATAAGAAAGGTGTCAAGACATCAAATTGATAAGGAGTCACTGGAACCAGTTTTCATCAATACAATATCTCAATTAGAAACAAATCCAAGAAGCATATACTTGGACTAAAAGATTCTTAATTAGTACATGAGAAAATTGCTAAGATTCCAGGATCTTTAATATTTTGCTAATGTTATCATAAAAAAGGTGTCAAGACATCAAATTAATAAGGAAATATTGAACGTTTCTCAGTGAAAACCTAGGAAGTATTTGAAAAATCAGCTATCTATTTTAAAGAACTCCTAATTGGTACATAAAAAAGTTACTGAAATTCAAGTATTCTCAAAAAGTAGTTTTAAAGCAGTCCTTAGAGGCTTATTTATAGTTCCATTCAAATTCTGCATTCAAGATTTAACGAGTAGCTCTATTGATAGGACACATTCGAGACCTGATTACTTCACTGAACCTCATTCAATCTTGTATCTTTCACGTATCACAGGGACAAGGATCGATAGTTGGCCAGCAACGCACAGACATAACAGAGAAGCTGTCGGAGTCGGAACGATTAATGAAGGAAATGTCGCAAACGTGGGAAGAGAAGCTGGTGAAAACCGAGAGGCTGCAGCATGAGAGACAGCAGGCCTTAGAGAAAATGGGAATTAGCGTCCAAGCCTCTGGTATCCAAGTAGAAAAGAACAAGTATTACCTCGTTAATCTGAACGACGATCCAAGCTTGAACGAGCTGCTAGTTTATTATCTGAAGGTGCCTAGAAATAGCCAACAACTTGTATATACATATAACATAAAATGCGAACAGATAATCTAATGTTTAAATCACTTGTACTTGGTAAAAATTAGGAAAGGACCCTGGTTGGAGGACGATCAGCTAAGACAGACCAAGATATTCAACTGCACGGGCTTGGTATTCTACCTGAACACTGTGTCATCACGATAGAGGAGACTGGTCTCTATATGACGCCATTAAACGGTGCTAGGTGTTTCGTGAACGGCACTCAGGTAGTGGAGAAAACGCCGCTGTTACATGGCGACAGGATCGTCTGGGGAAATCATCATTTCTTCCGAGTGAATTGTCCCAGAAGCGCAACAGGTAAAGCTTAATGGATATCGCTGATTGAATTCTTTGGAATCGATGTATGACATTCGAGAGATTGCCCATGTGTGTTTTCCTCTGTTCGTAGCGATCAACAGCGAGCCTCAAACGCCAGCGCAGAATATCGATTACACCTTTGCAAGGGAAGAACTGATGCTTAACGAGCTGTCGAATGATCCTATTCAAAGAGCCATCGCTAGACTCGAGAAGCAGCATGAGGAAGATAAACAGGTATGCTTGGAGCTTGATGGTGTTTGATGAAGATTTTCTGAGAAGCTACTGTATAAAGAGTTACTGGGACCAGTTTTCATCAATACAATATCTCAATTAGAAACAAATCCAAGAAGCATATACTTGGACTAAAAGATTCTTAATTAGTACATGAGAAAATTGCTAAGATTCCAGGATCTTTAACATTTTACTAACATTATCATAAGAAAGGTGTCAAGACATCAAATTGATAAGGAGTCACTGGAACCAGTTTTCATCAATACAATATCTCAATTAGAAACAAATCCAAGAAGCATATACTTGGACTAAAAGATTCTTAATTAGTACATGAGAAAATTGCTAAGATTCCAGGATCTTTAATATTTTGCTAATGTTATCATAAAAAAGGTGTCAAGACATCAAATTAATAAGGAAATATTGAACGTTTCTCAGTGAAAACCTAGGAAGTATTTGAAAAATCAGCTATCTATTTTAAAGAACTCCTAATTGGTACATAAAAAAGTTACTGAAATTCAAGTATTCTCAAAAAGTAGTTTTAAAGCAGTCCTTAGAGGCTTATTTATAGTTCCATTCAAATTCTGCATTCAAGATTTAACGAGTAGCTCTATTGATAGGACACATTCGAGACCTGATTACTTCACTGAACCTCATTCAATCTTGTATCTTTCACGTATCACAGGGACAAGGATCGATAGTTGGCCAGCAACGCACAGACATAACAGAGAAGCTGTCGGAGTCGGAACGATTAATGAAGGAAATGTCGCAAACGTGGGAAGAGAAGCTGGTGAAAACCGAGAGGCTGCAGCATGAGAGACAGCAGGCCTTAGAGAAAATGGGAATTAGCGTCCAAGCCTCTGGTATCCAAGTAGAAAAGAACAAGTATTACCTCGTTAATCTGAACGACGATCCAAGCTTGAACGAGCTGCTAGTTTATTATCTGAAGGTGCCTAGAAATAGCCAACAACTTGTATATACATATAACATAAAATGCGAACAGATAATCTAATGTTTAAATCACTTGTACTTGGTAAAAATTAGGAAAGGACCCTGGTTGGAGGACGATCAGCTAAGACAGACCAAGATATTCAACTGCACGGGCTTGGTATTCTACCTGAACACTGTGTCATCACGATAGAGGAGACTGGTCTCTATATGACGCCATTAAACGGTGCTAGGTGTTTCGTGAACGGCACTCAGGTAGTGGAGAAAACGCCGCTGTTACATGGCGACAGGATCGTCTGGGGAAATCATCATTTCTTCCGAGTGAATTGTCCCAGAAGCGCAACAGGTAAAGCTTAATGGATATCGCTGATTGAATTCTTTGGAATCGATGTATGACATTCGAGAGATTGCCCATGTGTGTTTTCCTCTGTTCGTAGCGATCAACAGCGAGCCTCAAACGCCAGCGCAGAATATCGATTACACCTTTGCAAGGGAAGAACTGATGCTTAACGAGCTGTCGAATGATCCTATTCAAAGAGCCATCGCTAGACTCGAGAAGCAGCATGAGGAAGATAAACAGGTATGCTTGGAGCTTGATGGTGTTTGATGAAGATTTTCTGAGAAGCTACTGATGTCGAAGATTAAATATCCTGAAGTTGCTAGATACCGTGCAATATAACGTCATCTGAGACCTTATTGAAGAATTGGGTGACATAGATTAGATAAGAAAGTGTTTGGATTTGACTAATGTGCACATAAAACCTAAGTTCCTTTTACCATGTGGTACTATAACTCACTTGATGTCCATTTAATGTAAAACTAAATTTTGAAACTTAACACGTGTAGTGCCCAGTCCGTTTTGCTTGCTGTTCCGTTCAGACCCAGACTCGGCCGTCAAGTGGGCCACCGACGGCGGGCAAATTATTCATAAAACTCGGAGATACTGTACCAATTGTTACAACAGGAATTCCCAAACGTTAGGTCCAAAGATGGCAAAAAATTTGACACCAAAAGTTAGCATCTTCTGGTCCTAGTTGGCCAGGCCCAAACGGAAAGTCTAGCGCTGATACCTGGGAACATTTAACGTGTTAAAGATATTCACATGAAACAAGTGTAAGTCTCTAATCAATTTGTTCTGATCCTTAGGTCGCGTTAGAAAAGCAAAGACAAGAGTACGAACGCCAGTTTCAACAGCTTCGCAACATTTTGTCACCATCGACACCATATTCTCCTTACGTACCATACGACCCCCTAAGAGGTAGTCAAAGCGGTAAACTTCCTGCTTGTACACCGACTACGCAAATGCGAGTAGAGAAGTGGGCCCAAGAAAGGGACGAGATGTTCAAGAGGAGTTTAGGTCAATTGAAAGCGGATATTTTGAAAGCGAATGCCTTGGTACAGGAGGCCAACTTCTTGGCGGAAGAGATGGGGAAGCAAACGAAGTTTAGCGTCACCCTGCAAATTCCACCAAACAATTTAAGTCCAAACAGAAAGGTAACACGTACTGGCAGTTGGATCGAGTTTACTTTAAACCAATTATCTTATAGGGTCGGTGAAACTTCGTTCCAAATTCTTAAAACTTATTGGAAAATTTCTAAGTAGTAGAATTTAAACGAATTACCTCCTTTGGATTTTTTGGAAAACAGCGAACTTCAGTTTATAGTAACTTCTTTATCTAAATTGATACTGTACTTTATAGAATATCAGAAATAGTAGAGAATTGAAGATAATAGTGTAGAGAATCTTAACTGAAGAATGAATTATTTTATACACTTTTGGTATATTAGTATTAGTTTCAGTACATGTTAGCGTCAGCACATATATTTTGTTACTTTAATGTTCTTTGTTTTATATGTATTTCCTTTGTTCTCTCAATTTGTAAATTTAGGTTTACAATTTCCATGTATGTTTTAAAATTTCCTCCTTTATTTAATTAATTCCTTTGTTGTTTCAGTTTGTGCATGTTTTATTTATTTATTTGTGTTCCTTTTGCTTTCACACTCTTCAACATGTAGAGTGTATTCTTTCAGCGGGGCGCTTTTGTCAGCGAGCCTGCCATTCTAGTGAAAAGGACAAACATGGGCAGTCAGGTATGGTCCATGGAAAAATTAGAAAACAAATTAGTCGACATGCGGGATATGTACGAGGACAGAAAAGATCCCAACAATTGTCAACGATTACCTGCCATTAAGGTATAACTCGTGATAATTTCAAAGTCTTGAGCAACGCATCAAGCATCTCTATCTGAAAGTGAACGATTTCTGATTTAGGATGAAGTGCCGGGAAAAACTCAAGATCCATTCTACGAGTCCCAGGAGAATCACAATCTCATTGGAGTAGCGAATATTTTCTTAGAAGTTCTATTCCATGAAGTTCGGTTAGATTATCACACGCCAATTATCAGCCAACAGGGAGAAGTCGCTGGACGACTGCAAGTCGAAATAAGTCGCATATCTGGTCACTTTCCTCAGGATCGTATCTGCGAGGCAGCATCCGAATCATCAGCTGACTCGACCTCTTCAGAACCTGAGGACTACTCTGGCTCCAGTCACATCATTTGTCGTGTGACCATAAAGCAAGCAACTGGTTTGCCTTTGTCTTTGAGCCATTTTGTATTTTGTCAGTATATGTTCTGCGGCCATCCAGATCCCATAGTGGTCCCAGCCGTAGATAACTCAGAACAACTCAACTCGAATTGCCAGACTGGTCAGAGAGATTCGCTAGTGTTCAAATTCAATCATACAAAAGATTTTACCGTACCCATAACAGAGGAGTTTATCGAACACTGTGGTGGTGAGTGATCATAAAATTCAATTGCAGCTTACTATTTATAACAAACTATAGATCTTTTGATAACTGATGACTGTCATTGCATTATATGCCATGCTAATCATTTTTTGGAGTGGAAACATCATTGATTAAATTATTGACTAGTTACTGTCAAAAACTAACCTTTCTCACCTACATCAACTTTTATGATTTTTATTTTAACTTCAATTTCTTGTTTGTAACATAGACCTAAATTTTATATTTTAATGGATAAACTTGTTTAAATATTGTAATATCATAAAAACACATTGTCATATGCAGAAGGGGCCTTAAGCATAGAAGTTTGGGGACATCGAAGTGCTGGATTTTCCCGAAGCAAACCAGGCTGGGAAGTCGAGCAGCAACTTGCCAAAGCTAGATCTCTGGCTGACCGATGGTCGGAATTAACACGGAAAATCGAACTGTGGGTTGAAATCCAAGAACTCAATGAGCAAGGAGAATATTCACCCGTGGACGTGATTGTGAAGCAAGATACATTGACAGGTTTGTTATAGTTTCTTATATTTCTTTAATTACAATGTAATATGCAATTGATATTTCTTTCAGGAGGTATTTATCAGTTACGTCAAGGACAACAACGACGAATACAAGTTCGTGTGAAACCAGTACAAAATTCAGGAACATTGCCCATCATCTGTCAGTCTATATTAAATATCGCAGTTGGTAGCGTGTCTGTGAGAAATCGTCTACAGATTCCACTGGACAGTTATCAGGATGAAGATTTGAGTATACTGAGAGAAAAATGGAGTGAAGCCTTGATGAGGAGAAGACAGTACTTGGATCAACAAATACAAAAACTTATCAATAAACAAGGTACATTTTATAAATCTAAAAGAAACCTAAAAATTAAGTTGATGATACATTGCAACTTTAACGTATGATTTCCACGTATAGATAAAACTGAACAGGATATAGAAAGAGAACAAAGTCTCGTAGATCAATGGGTGAGCTTAACAGAAGAAAGAAATGCAGTGTTAGTTCCTGCAGCAGGATCAGGAATCCCTGGTGCTCCTGCTGACTGGAACCCTCCAGCAGGCATGGAACCACATATTCCTGTTCTATTTCTTGATCTCAATGGTATGTTGATTTATCTTGGACTGTACAATGTAAAATTTGATGATTCTTATACAACAAATATTTGCAGCTGATGATCTCTCGACTCATCAGTCAGGGGAAGAAGTTTCTGTAACTGGATTGAATTCCATCTTACCTAAGGAACATGGCAATAAATTCTACAATTTACCCATAATTCGTCGTATAGAGAAAGATGTGTGCGCCATCGCTGCCTGGGACTCCAGTATACACGATAATATACATCTAAATAAAGTGACAGATGGTAGAATATATTATATTAAAAACTTGTCTGCCCATAGTATTCAATGTTCTCAATTATACAATGTAAATATATTTCAGCAAATGAACGAGTATTTTTGATTCTGAAGACAACGGTACGCCTCTCGCATCCGGCACCAATGGACCTTGTTCTACGTAAACGATTGGCCTTGAATATCTACAAACGACAAAGTATCACGGATAGAATTTTCAAGAGAATCGTTCGTACTGACTGTTTGACCCAAACTGGAGTCACCTATGAGGTTGTGTCTAATATACCAAAGGCTAGCGAAGAACTGGAGGATCGCGAGAGTTTGGCGCAAATAGCTGCCAGTGGTGAAGACAACAGCTTATGCGATGGTGAAACTTACATTGGTAAGTCAATCTTGACAAATCTTCTATAGAATTTTATAACCTGAAAATTTAGTAAAAGTATAATTTAAACTGACACGTCTGATGTTTGCTTAGAAAAATATACACGCGGTGTCTCTGCGGTGGAAAGTATCTTAACCTTAGATCGATTACGACAAAGTGTCGCAGTGAAGGAATTACTACAAGCACAAGGTCAACCACTTATGCGCAAAACAGCAAGCGTACCCAACTTCTCGCAGGTACTACTGCCTCTTCGCCGTCTCGGACGCACTGTATGCTTTTCGTTTAATTTGTTTTTCTTTTTTAACTTCTACCCTCTAATTAACGTTCCATTTTCTTTTTTCATGCTCAAGTATTTTCTTGTTTCATTCATACTAGAGCAACAAAGTTTCACAAATTTTGATTTTATTTGCCTTCAATTTCTTTTAAGTTCCCGATATTGTCATCCTGTCAAAATTATCAGACGGTTTGTCTGAAATCATTTGGCTGCAGAAAAGCATCTCACTTCCAATAAATTTTGATACAACGAATAAAAATATTTGAAAGAAATATTTTTAATTATACTGAATTGTAAAAATCACTTTCAATATTTCCATAAATATCGAATTTTTTAAATGGTTAAGGATTATGATAGTGGAGAGACCATTGAAACTTTGTTCATAATAAGAGAAGTGTCCTTGAACGGCTGATTGATTTTGGACAGACTATTGTGAGATGCTGTATCCCTTGAGATAGAGGTAACATGACACGCGACTATTTACAGATCATGAGATCCGATACTTCGATGGACTCCTTGAACGTCACGCGTTCTGAAAGCGTGACTGATCTCAACACCGAGTTGAATGGACTACTTCATTCACGACGTGCATCCACGGGTCACACCAGAAACGATGAGAATTTCGTTTCTGCGCCGACTAAACCATTCGGAATCGGTAAGCAAACGTTCATTTTATACGTATTACATATTCCAATGAAACACTTCCAAAAAACAAATTCAGTGATCATACGTTCTATGATTTCTTAATTGCACATCCTAGTAGCAATTGAAGGTATCAGTGCATATAAAGTAATATTTATGCGTTTGACCTTGATTGTTGAAGATGACTAATTTGGAAAAATATAATTTATGAAATCATAGAAGATAAAAGCAATTAATTGGTACTCAATTATAAGATAATATAAACAATAAACGAAGGATTCTTTTCTTATTATTCACACAAGATATTCACTCATACAATTCATGTTCTCATTCATTAGTTCACCGTTCATTTTGTAGTAATCCATTTTATTAATACAATTGATTGCATATCACTTAATATCTTTTAATGGTCTAATGACATGGAATTAACACATTACTATTGTTCATAATAACTTTTAACAATATCCAACGGTACTACCATAAGTACGTCAACAAAAAGGTAATTCCAAAATTTCTTGCAAGAGAGTTCTTTTGCTCCGCAAGCGTTTTTGCCATGAGGTTGATGAAGGCATAGCAAATTTAGCAAATAAATCTTATTTTATTTCGTTATTAGCTGCTCTCTGTTTGACACAGAGCTTGCTACACTGAACGCAGAATTTTCGCTAAATGGATTGCTACTTACATAAAATTTGACCGAATTTTTATTTTCAATGTCTTTTTGTTTCTTTTTTTTTTTTATTTGAAAATTCTTACGACTTATAATCTTATGCGAATACATCATTTAATGAATGCAACATCTTAGTTTGCTTAAATCACAATTGAATTACCAAAATATTTAAATGCTTTAATAAATTTTAATGGCACTGTGTTTTAAGGACCTTAGTCTTAGAATAATATCAACTTACGTTTCGATCACTTCTCGTTGCCTTGATTTTCGCTTTCTTGAATTATATTTAACAAAAAGTCTATTCATTCATTTCTGAAATGTGGCTTATGCAGTGTTTTTTAACATTTTATATATATATATATATTTCACCTTGCCATGATAGTCACTTTACAATTTGCCCTAGTTTTGATTGTCTTAAAATTCCACTGTTATGTCTTCCTTTGGTATTGGATATGTTGTTTCTGAATAATGGAAGATAATCATTTCATCTGTTTCCTTTCTGTTTCTTTTTATTATTGAGATTCATGTCATCCATTGTTAGCATTTCCTTCTATTGTGTCTGCTTAAAGTACAACTTTCTACAATCACATTTCTCTATATCCATTTACAAAAGGATCACTATTCTCTTCAATTTTAACCCTTTCAATATTAGTGGTATATTATATTATTTCAATACTAATACAGGGCATGTACAATGGTAATAAGAAGTTTCTGGTTATTGCAATTTATATCGTACATTAATAGAATTTTTCTCACAGAAATAAAAATATTTTACAATTTACAATTTAGATTATGCTTATACAGTATGCTTTTACTTGTAGAATATAGTATTTGAACACTGTTGCAACATTGCACTGGCAAAAGGCTTGTAGTGATGACTATGGATAAATGTTTAATCTAGAGAAAATATTTCATCAGAGTCTATGCAAAAAGACCCATATAACTATAATTTCTCTTCAACCTTACAAAAATTTATATTAGATGAATATTTGACTACATTTTCAAGTGCATAATTTTTTATATACAAAATTTCAAAACAAACTAATCATATATGTATAACTTTACTGGAACTATACTTACAACTGTACTCTATAATCAATATAGAAATTCTGACTTCCTTAGAGACTCTAATTTATACATATAGCCCTGAGATAATGTTAAATCTTGAGCAATGATAATATGTACATGCATATAAAAATTTACAATCATGAAAGGGTTAGAAGCATCACATGATAAAAGCAAAACTTGCACTGTATCATACAGTAATATTATTGAATCAGCAAAACAGGCACCATGCAAGGAAATTGCTCAATCACTTAGAACAAACACGATCAACAGTTTGATCACTCTCCTTAATAATGTTTGGTAATACCAATCTCCCTCTTAGCAGTTACCACTACACACTGGAACTTCGTATTTATTATATTTACAGCTTCTATCATACTGTTATGTCATCACGCTATGTTCAACTTTTTACGCACGATTCTCATTAGCAAGGTTATCGTGGCTTTCCTAGACAACGAGTCACGAGGACCACGATGATTGGTCGCGATTGAAGAGAGTTGAGCATGGTATAAAGAAAAGGGGGAACAACCCACTGTCTTTTCTCAGATCCGCCTAGCGTTTATTAGTAAGCGGCACTTAAGCTCCACCACTTGTTACAGAGCCTCTCTAATACAGTCAATAACGAGCCTTAAGATAAATAGCGAATTCTGTAGCAAAATTAATCGACTTAGTCAGAACCAATATTAACATACGCAACTCATGTCTCTGTTCCTCTGTTTATAACACTACGTCTACTACTTCTACAACTATTTCGGCCCACGCAAGGCTCCATTCTGAACTCAGGTAAAATGGAGTCTTGATTGATATTTGGTTGATGCCCTAACAGGCAGTGACGATTAGTACATATGTCTCGTGAGTGGTTGAGTCTGTCTGTTGTTTTAGTTTTCCAGTACGCCTTTATTATAATATATATATATATATATATATTTATATGTATATATAGTGTGTCGTTGACTCTTCATTATTGTGATCCTAGCAATGTTCAGAACCGGAAGAGACCATACCAAGACTGTACCGTAGGAGAGTAGAAATGTCAGTTGCTTGATGGATCGCTGAAACTTCTCTAGAATGTTATCCATCAGCTGAATGTTGCCAAGCTCAAGGAACGCTGCTCCTGCTCTGTTCTCTCACCAGATTCTCATGCGTGCTCTAGTTCTGAAAATTGCTCGTGCCTTTCTTGTCTGTAACAAACGCTGTTCCTTTGCAACAAGCAATGTTGTCTTTTTAGTTTCACCGTGTTACTGTTGCATGTTGAATGTGCCCTTTGAGCAAGCATCGGCAAGTCTCTGTTCATTGGACGTTCCCTCGTCGGCTGACACCTTTACACCGATGATTTGTTGCTGATACAACGCTTATGAAAGTCTCACGTCAACGCATCGCAAAAGCAAGATGAAAGAACGATCTTCTCGTGCCTATCGCAATTTCTATCAGAGATCACCATGCCTAGAAATCATGTTCACTAGCACTGTATATCACGACTATTATATTTCTTATATACTACCACGACTCGCAGTCGAAAGCATGGGTATTGAACAAATTTTATCGCCAAAGTTTTTTTTTGTTAGAATAGAAATGATTTATATAGTTTCGTTTCTATTTTTACTTTTTTAAACAAATTTTTTTTTTTTCCTTTTTTTCCTTTTTTTCCTTTTTTTGGTCTTTTTCTTCTTTCGATCGATGATCCGTTGAATGTTGGAGAATGGCCCACCACATTCGACGAATCGTCGAGATTAGTATCTACGTTCTGAAACTGAATTTAAGAGTGAACTGGAGTGCATAAGATACTTTTTACCATGGTCGAGTTATACTTGAAGAGTTAAGAGAGAGAAAAATGAGAAAAAGAGTAATAAAATCGCTTGTAAAGTTGTTCTACTTTTACTGTCTCTACCTGTGAATGTGCTATTAAGCGATATTTTAGAAACAGACGTAGGGTAACTGTATCATATATGTGTACATATATATACATAAGTATTTATTGATTAATAATTTAGACAGATATAAGCTTCTGAAGAACAATTTAGAATCGTTTCATTAAGGAAATATTTGCTATAAATAGTAACATTCTGAGTCAGTGAAGCTAACTTGTTTTTCATTAGAAGCTAAGGAAAAGGAAGAAGCATATGACTTGACAAATAAAAAAAGAAAATGGGAAAGTCATGTGGTAAAAGATAACGACTATACATTTATATTTAATAGTAGAAGTTTGTTAGAGAACCAAAAATGTTAACCAGGAACATCCCATTTTCTTTATCAACTAAGGTGATTAGTTTAAAGTCAAACAAACTTAAAATACAAACAACTTCAGAATGATGTAGAGGGCAAAATTGAGAGTAATTAGTGATGCATGAGATTATTGTTACGGTTATAGTTGAAGCATGTTTCGTGGGAAGGTAGAGTCTATCTAACTACTATCAACTGTACAGTAAAGAGGATACTCTGTCGAGGACACTGAGACTACCACTGCCACCATTGACTTTAAACTAATACACTGTTGTTGATATACTTATAACAAATCCACAATGCATGTAACCAATTAATTACACAGATATGATTCTCCTAATTTCAAAAGTTTCCAACAAATATCTTTTAGAATATTATTTTAATCCTAATTACTATGATTCATGCATTTTGGATTTGCTTTAAAAATGGCGAGTTGAGTCGTTTCATTCACATAAGAAATTTTTAAGAAAGAAAAAGAAAGGAGAAACGATCTCAAGTAATTGAGCCTGTTTTAATTACCTGTACACGATTGTCATAACTGGTAACAACTGGTGAATCTTCTCTACATCTTTGAATCTGATGCACAAACAAAAGATGTACACTGATCTGGTTTGCCTCACTGTATTCAGTGTCTTCTAGTCTGCAGGCATAATTGATGATAACACGTGGCAAGCCTGCAAAAAGAAAAGAAAAAAAGGCAAAGGTTTACCAAAGGCTCGCCATTAAGAGGAGAACAAAGTGTAGTGTTTAGCGATCGACGAGAAAACAAGTGCCGTGTAATCAGTACGTCTATCTCCTTTCAGCAAGACCAACTTTCCTGAATCTCAACCTGAATCTCAACTCATTGACACGTCTGCAACAATCCACCTCTGCCAAGTGTAGGTGACACTCGCTGTTGATGGCTCTCCCAAACTGGCTTGCCACTAGAAACTGCTAGCTAATGAGCTAGCAGTAGCCCATTGAATCTTTTATTAATTTATTCAACTTTATTTAACCCTTTTGTATGCTAAAGATGAAGATGTAACCACCAGTATTGAATATTCACTGTATTCTCAAGGTAGCCATAATCATTCGGCATTCAATGCATTATAATGGTGATTACAGTCACCCAACGTTGAATGCTCAATGTATCCTAAAGATGACTATTGCTACCCAATGCTGAGTGAGTAATGGATCATACTGGTGACTATAATGAGTGTTAAACAATTTTAAAAATTCAATTATTTTGACATACATTTGCTTACAATTCTTTACACACAGATGCTAATCTAATTGTGACAGAAATACATAGTTCAAGAGTCCCATAGTATACTGACCGGTGTAATAGTATTCTGACTAATTCCACCATAACAAAAGAGTTAATAGTTAAATAAATTACTGAACATTTTATATGATAAAAAAGTCTTTGTTGACTTTTCATATACTTTAAACCTTTCTCCAAGTATTCTGCATTGATTATCTTGTCGTACTGCTACAGTTATAGAATAGCAAAGTAGACAAAGTAGCATTGTATACTTCTAGTGTACCATATCATAGATGAAGCTAGCAATAGTATTTATGAGTAGATTGAAACTGCCAAACACTATTCTGATAGTTAACTCTATGGAGAAAGGATTAAACTTTTCGATGAACCCAGTCGTGTTAAACACAAGGATCCTGAGTATTGAATTTATCCAGCTCTGGCAAGTTTGAGAGAGCCCATTCGATCATTCTCGTAGTGATTAGTAGTCTGTTTGGTTTCCTTACACCTTATTTCGATTATTACGTAGCACTACGACGATATATATCGATAACTACCACAATTTGTTTTTCGTTTGGTATCTTTTTTCTCCGTAGTATACACTATCCTAACTGGAACTGCAGCCTTACTGTGCCTACGGTGCAGTGCATAGTTTCCATATGTGTTCGATGTTTTATTGCTTACGATTACCTTACGGTACCTTTCTTACCTCTGTCTTATGTTTATTTCAGGCTGCCTTATATTCCACGTATTATGTGCTTGAATCTTCTGAATCTTTAGTACTTCATTCAAACACTTATTTCGATCGTCGAATAAGAGTCGTTTGACTCACATGTATCATCCTAACACATAGAAATACACACATGAGACATGTCTGTTAGAAGCAAATACGGTACCACCAGGTGATAGAGCCAGGAATCAGTGATGAAGTTAACATAGACTATAGCATAAAGAATACATGAACGGTCAAATACGTGGAATATACTATTATCCTTTTTCGTTTTTAGGAACAGCATGGACACATTCCTTTTGTTCGATATTATTGCAATCACTGATATGTGTATCAGAACCGACCTGGCACCTCTTAGTGTAATCATGAACCCAATTAAATGGAATGTATGTTGGTACCCAAGGGAAGAAACGATGTTAACCAACCACTGATCAATTCTGTATCACGTTTAAATGATTTTGTCTTCATGGTGGCCAGATCGGCCCTGATATTCATAACTCGTCACAGTCTTCACGCGATAAACGCAATAACTTCACTTTTACTGACTTGTTCACCTTCGTTTTAGCATCTCCAAATATGGTGGGCGGCAAGCTGGGTCTACGAATGACCACCCTGCATGAGGAAACGTCGAATACCGGGAATCAACTTTCAACGCCTGTCCACGATGAAGATGAAGAGAAGAGTGACGCTGATTACTTGGAATATGACTCGTATCAGGTAGTACACGTTCTTAAGTTCCGAAGATATCACTCTACCTGTTTGTATATTTATGTATAATACATTTATTAAATGCAGCTATTTTTCATTGGAAGTACTGATTATAGTCTTGAGGTCTTGAAGATAGAAGTACTTTGCATGCAGTGTAGTTAAATCTTTGAAGAAGGAAGAACTGGAGAAGAAGTCAATGACAAAAGTTATGAAACAAGAGTCCTTTAAAAAGTATCTTTTTTTCTTATTTTCTAAGATACATAGGTCAAAAATAAAAATGCTATATACTTTTAGGTACTTTTAGGTACTTTTAAGTGCTTACTTAACTTAGCTAATCTCTATATACTTAATATTAGCATATAGAGTAGTTTCATGTATATCCATACAACAAAGTTCTTAGATAATCACCTTGTTTCTTAACTTCTGTCAATAAATATATTTGAAAATATCTTTGAAGAATTGTTAATTAGCAACAAAGAGATGGAAATGAATGGTTTGACACGATACAAATATTATAATGATAATTTTATGTGCAGTTATTACAATTTTATAATATTTAGTTATAAAATCACTCTGTCAATTAAGTTATCATTCATTTTCTTATGAAACTTCACCAAAACATATGCTAATTTATTTCCACAGTTAAACATAAAGTATGAATATTAAGTTTGCATCTTTGATGGAGAAGAAACACTGTATGAACATCCAAAAGCCCTGTTCTCTAAAGAGCTATAGAAAAAGATACAAAAATTCAGCATATTAAACATAAATAAAACAAATTCCAAAAGGAAAACCAAGTACAATTGTTTCTTCTCCTTATTTGCTATCAAAAGACCAAAGAAATAATTCTTTAAACCCATCATATCATTGTGGCCACAATCAAATCACACGCGATTACATTCAGGCACCGGCGAAACCAGTAAAACCGCTAACTTCTTCACGCACACTGGATTCTCTCGTCGAACTTCAATCGACGAAGATCAACACGCCAAGCATGAGCAGTAGTGGTTACGGTTCCCAAGCAGTGTCTACGACCAACCTCACGTCAGAGGATTCGATCTCTGTCAAGTCCATCAGCGTGGACGAGACGCCTGACTTAGAGTACAGAAACCTATTGGACAACAAGAAACCGGAACGGATGGATAGCTCCCTGGTCGAAGAAACGCCTGAAGAATACATGGGTGAAGTGACTAACGCGTTGGGCAAATTGAACGTGATGGAGAACACTTGCGTCGAGGGTTAGTTGAACGACTCTTGAAACAGCAAAGAGCAAATACTTGAATACGTGGTGTGTTAGAATAAGTGTTGTATGCAATAGTTGCTGAAGAATTAGCAGAGGAAGAAAATGACAGGAACAAGTTAATTTAGACAATACTTCTTATTGATTCACTCTGTAAATAGATATTATATACTATACACTTACATATTTCCTAAAAATATATATATTCATACAACTATTAATTATTTCCTCCTTGATATGACACTTATTCTGATATTCTGTATAAGCATAAATATTTATAGAATATAATTACTATGTATCATTGAAACTTTTCCTGTATCACAGAGAATACTAGGAAGAACTTGGAAGAAACAGGCGCCTATTTAGACGCAGATATTGACAGTCCAGTTTCTTCAACGAAAAGCGACAGTGATGCTAATACCAATGTAACGCATACCAGCTCTACTCAGAAGAAGGATGTACCAAGCCAGGGTTTGAGTAATAGAAGGAAAAGCGACATGGAAATTAGTCAGGCATCAAATTCTGGAGAGGACAGTCCTTTGGAGGGTAGCTCAGTTGTGCACACCAAGCTACCACCAGGCAAGGTAATCTTTATGACAAAAGAAGTTGTAATTAACCTTGACACCTGTATGTAGAAGACCTTTTTATTCTAACCTACTTCCTCGATCCCTTTCATAGCTGTAAATAAAGTGTATATTTTGTTCAGAAGTCCTGTATTGAATTGACTAATGTTTTAAATTAAATTAATTAACTCTAGAACATTAATTTCATAATGACAGGTCGTGCGACGAAGAAAATGTTCTGCCAGCACAGGAAGGCCTACAAGTTCTCAGCACAGGGCTTCATTTCCCATGGTCCGTCCACAACTTTCAGAGAGCAAAGTTGCAGCACGCTTAGAACAATCAATGCAACATAATATGCCATATGAAAACGGTGACAACAGCTCCTCTGAACGAATCGATGGTAAATTATTTTTATAAAAGGTACAAGCTGTTATTTGAGCACAAGATAAAAACACAGTTTTCATCTCTTAACAATAGATGATGTAAGCGACAAAAGCTCAGCTTTCGGTTCAAGACACGATTTAAGCAGAGTCGAAACTCCACTCCCAGATTGGGTTGTAATTGGTGAATCAGTATTAGTTCGCCCATACAGCTATTCCGGTGTCATAGCATACGTTGGCCCAACAGAATTTGCATCTGGAACATGGATAGGAGTTGAACTTGACGCCCCGACTGGTAAGATCTATCTTTGCTATCTTCTAATTTGCTACAGTCGATGAAACAAGTCATTTCTTTATCCCAAATTATCTCTGTATTAATTTCCTGCTTATGAGAATATTTGAAGGCGAATTTTATTTGGAAAATTTGTTACTTTTGATCAGACAAAATGCAATTACATGGTAATGGGTATGATTACAGGTAAAAACGATGGTGCTGTGAATGGCCATAGGTACTTCACGTGTCGACCGAAATGCGGAATCTTTGTCAAAGTGGACAAACTAATTCAAGACAAAAGGGGCCGAGCACTTAGAAATTATACCAATGTCCCTCAACCTGCACCTATGCGCAGAAGTGTTAGCAGAGGTGTGAACATATTATAAAATGTTACAAATAAGAGAAAAATTCTAAAGAAATAGCAAAATATATATCTTGATAATCTCGAGTAGCTAATTAATTTTAAAGAAAGGATGATAGAATTTATAGAAAGCAATGTATAGAATACTGTATAGGTCGCTGTATGTAGTAGTACATTTATTGCTAATAGGAATTTTATTGATATTTGTAGCGATGACTGATCTATTCACTGATCAGTCTAGAACTGCTATAGAATTTAGATGATCAGTGAATAGACCAATGAATTGATCCATTTAAAATGGATAGAATGCTGTATAGATGGTTGTACACAGTAGTACATTCATTGCTAATAGGAATTTTATTGATATTTGTAGCAATAACTGATCTATTCACTGATAATTTTAAGTTACCCCCAACGAATGCTTACTGGATGATTGTTCCAGGTGAGGGTTTACATTCCTTGCACCGAAGTCGGAGCCGAGGAGAGGGCCTTTCAACAACAGGCACACGATCTTCTCCACGGGGCAAGTAAACGGATCACAACACCGCTTCACCGTAACTTCGTTTTACTAATAAGCCACTAAATATCCTAATTGCTACATGCCTATGATATGTGTAGCAGCAGTGTTTCAGTCCCTTAGACATTAGGGCAGCTATGGATTAATTAATTACTTATAAATATTACTTGAAATATTAGGTCATTAATGTGTATCACACAAAGCATGGGACGTTCTCTCAATTTCGAACAGAACATGCTGTTCTGCAGCATAGTATCTACTACTACTTCGCATTTCAGTAGCGTAGCGAGAGCGAGAGAGAGAGCGAGAGAGCGCGAAAGGGAGAGAGAGAGAGAGAGTGAGAAAAGCGTGCGCGCAAGAATATCGATACATAGGAGGTTATGTATCGAGAATCAGCGGACGATGTTCAATCGAATATATATATATAATTTGTAAGCATTCCACAAAACTTTTAATTTTAACGACTGGGATGATGAGCCATTTACTTTTTACATAAGAGGAAGCATCGTTTAGTTCGCGATTAATTGTACATTTTTTAAGGGTATCGAAGAAAGAGGGAAAAACCGAGTCACCTATTTTGATCACAATCTTCTAACCTTGGTCATTGGTGGCAGACCAAGGCAATCGCATTTTAAAGAATAATATTCCATAACGTTTAAGCATCGATTGCATTTACAAGAAAAGAAGAAAAGAATAACAAATCCAGGACAAATACATTACATGCGTGTAACAATAATCAGTCGAAAAAGAAACAATTGACAATTTTATGAAAATTGCCAATATATATATATATATATACATATATAGAATACAGCACTCTCCGAAATTACCAGCCGGTAATTTTAAATAATGGAGAAGTGGTCAGCAGACGAATGAACATAGGACGGCCAACAGAAAGAAATAAAAATATAAAGATCCTTTTTTCGAGACACGAATTACCGCGTTGCGTAGATTATTTAAAGATTTTATATGTATACAATTGTTTCATATATATTGTATTTTTTTAGCGCAATCTGTTAAGTTCCTTTTTATTGTAACATACAATTGTCCTCTGTCCAGCATTACGTTGTTAACGCGAACATGACACGCAATTAATTTATATGGCGCAAAGTGTGTGAGGAAACCGTGCGTGTTGCACTACGATACGAAGGAATATCTACGCCGGCTGCCGCTCCCGCCAGAGGCGCTGCTCGTTCATCATGGCCGAGCACGATCACCGGTGTGTGTCTTTTAGAGTGCAACACGGTTACATAGGATCGCAATATTAGGTTCGTAAGTTTTAGGTAGTAGAGATCGAATTAAAGGAAAATGAAAAAAAACGAGCTTGCTTGATTGTATCTTGAATTTGCGTATAGCTGCGTTGATTCGACGTTATTCCTTTCTTTCTCTGTTTTCATCGGTGACAAAAGACACCTCGTCCACGATAATACGTTGCACGTTTCTTCTTGGTTCGCATAACCCGGCTGAATTTAACCGCGATGAACTCTCATAATATACATATATATATTTGATACATTTCAACGTGATTTGCTCAGTACGACGATGACGATACTGATTTCTCGCTAGACGGGACAAAGAACCATAACGATGCGTCCGTTCAGATATACGAGGAAGAGGATGAAAGGGACTGTGCAGAGGCACAACGACGATGTATGGCAGAGTATAAGAGGAAAATCAAACGATTATGTCGCGTGTCTTTTTTTAATTTGCGGGATAGATTTCGCGGAGTACAAGAGGGATATAAAAGAGGAGAGGAGACGGAAGAGAGGGGAGAAAATGGTTGATGATGCGACGAAGAAGCGAACGTCGAATGAAAGGGAGAAAATGAACGATTAAAATGGTAATCGTGAGAAAAACGAAAAGAGAAGGAAAGAAAAGAAAATTCGCCCAAATTATGAACAACAGCAACCGAAACAACCGCAACAACAAGAACAACTTCTGTCCAGTTAGAACAATACTAACGCTATCAATAATGAACATATTACTGTATGTAATATTTATTGAATATAAATAATAAACTCGCCTGCGACGCGACGTTTCCTGACCACGGTACCTCCGGTTGCTTTCGTGTACTCGCGTGCGACTCGAGCGAATAAATGGGAGGGGGAAATGATTATGGTAATGCGTATGAACGCGTCTTTACACGAATGGGAAACGCCGCGGGCTAAGGTATCTCTGTCCATTTTTTGGTAATTCAAGATTATTAAAAATGAAAGAAAATTAAGACTCACAAATGTCACAGTGATGCTACGTGCCTGCCAGGCATAGGGTTAATAAACATTTTTCGTTTCAGAGACTATGCGTTACACATTTTCTGTTCTCTTCTTCTTTGTTTCTCTTTCTTTTCTTCGCCAGTCGATACTGCGAAATGTATATATCAATTTCTCGATTCCAATTGTCCGTTTCTTTAACGTCTAATAATAATTGTAAGACATTCGATCGTCTACTTATAAGTATCTTATAATAATTTACATTTTACTGTAACAATCTAAATTTCTGTACATACATACGTTTCTTTCTTTTTTTCCATTTTTTTTCGTTTCTTTCTGTTCATTTCTCATTATTGCAGTGGAGCATCTAGCATCGACGGAGCTTACACAGCCTATTCCATCCCACGATAAGACAATGTCCATTTTTATCGTTATAATTATCTAATATGATAATCGTTCACAACTATACTTTGTACCCTAACGGATTCTAGAATAATATTTTCGACCAATCGGTTTTACGAATGTCTCTGGAAGACTTCCGAGTTTAACATTATCCCCCACCCCCACCCCCC